TATATAGATGGTTTATATCTATTGTAATTATGTTGGGGTTTTCGGGTCAGAGTTTTAAATATACATCCCGATAAAGTATATATTTGCTTAATTTTTATATCAAATAGTCACTTGGATATTCTAAATGGCTGGACTACCAGAAATTATTATATATTTTAGGATTACCAAAAGTATATGATTTCAATTAATCACTTTGTGATATGCATTTTAATTCTTAACATAAAAAAGTAACTAATTACTTTTAATTTTATGTTATGTACATATAGAAATTAATTAAATATTATGTAATTCATCATCACTTAATAATCTTGCAAAGGGTATTACTGTGTTACATTGTTTTCTAATAAATAAAATTAATAATTAATAATAAAGATAACTATGTAAAATTATTATTTATTTCGTAGTTTTTCCTTAGTAGTTATAAAAAGAAATTTCTAAGTAATATTGAGTTTTAAGATTTTGGCATATAGTAATATTAATGCAGTTTGAATCTGAGGAAATTACTCCGATATCCTTCACCGTTTGGAAAATCAATCATGATAAATTTATACAAATGATAAACAAAGACATATAATTATTCACCAAATACAAAGAAACATGTATAATAGTGTAAACAACATACTATAAAACATGTAGTGAAGTGAATTTAATTAATAAAACAAAAGTAGAGCAGAAGATGAAGGAAAAGAAAATAGTTGTAAGAATATTTAGAATGTTATTACCTTGAATGAGGAAAGGTGTTATTCTTCAACAGAGTTAGTAGTCCATTTTGCGATTTCTTATCTTCTTGGTCTTCCCCTCACATTTTCTTTCCCTTCGATTTGAAGCAGCTGACATGTAAAACTAAAATATATTTAGGAAGAGCGAGATAGACAGCTTAGAAATATATTTACTTAATTAGCAAATGGATCCATGAAATATATATAAAGAAATTAGAAAATGGATCCATGAAATATATATATAAAGAAAGGAACAAACCTGATCTGATATGAAATATATTTACTAAGGATGAGGAAAGCTCTTATTCTTCAGCAGAGTTGGTGCTCCATTTTTGGATTTCTTATCTTCTTAGTCTTCCCCTCACATTTTCTTTCCCTTTCTGAATATTCTCCTCGATTTGAAGCTGCTGCGAGATAGGCAGCTTAGAAATATAAATACTTAGCAATGGATCCATGAAAAGAGCGCAAAGTAAGTGATAAGATCTTACCTTGAGAGTGAAACAAACCCAAAAACAGGAAAGCTCTTAATCTTCAATTCATTCACCTATCAACTACTCCTGTTGTCGTCTGTCTTGAAAGATGCACATAATATATATCCATCTTTATGTTTATATGAGTGAAATTTCTTGATCTATATAGTAGAAAAAAGGAACAAACCTGATCTGCTATGTTGTTGGAATGTAAGTTGAGATTTGTGTTCCCTTGTCACAATTCCAAATAGCGAGCAATGAACTGAAAGTAATGAAGAGAAGAAAAAAGCAAAGATACGTGGAAGCTGTAAGTTCCAAGAAATGAGATACTTGTACGCATGGATATCATAATATGAAATTTCTTAAATATTTTTATTTATATTTTTTAGTGTATATATATATATATATATTTGTCAAAATATAAACTTTTAAAGGAGTGAAACGTAAAATAAAATTAGAAATAACTTTTTTGAAACATATATTTAGAGTAAAACACTGAATGGAGCAAATAAATAAAAATTGACAAATACTACCAAAAAAAAAATGTGCATGAAAAGAAGATTGTGATGAATGGAGCAAATGCTAATGAAGATATTTAAAGATAAGGATAATTGGATATGGTGTCCTAGTCTTGAGCGAGAAAACCAACACCATGCAAAAAAACAAAAGAGAATATGTAATTGACGTGCATAAGACGAAATAAGTGGGGAAGTAGGCTGATATAATGGGGAACAAAAGTGATATATTCACTTTTTCTTTTTTGGCTGTAAAGAGATCTTCACTTTAACTTTATAATGTAATGAATTATTAATTGCTGGCTATCCCAATCGTCATCTTATTTGAAAATAATTGGTGATGAAAATATCTAGTCATGAAACACATTGCCTCCTACAGGGAGAATAATAAGTTTTTTTATTTTTTATTTACATTATTCTCGTAAGATATTTGTTTTTCTATATAACTTCTGATATTTTCACTGATGAAGTTTGAGAGGGAAAATGTAAAATAATTTAACGAATTGAATTCAAAAATTTTGACGCAAATTCTTTTTATGAGTTTTAGTCATAATAAAAATTAATTTTTAGGAGATTAATACAAATTAATGAACCCCTAATTGTGATAATTATAAAAATTGAAAAACTTAAAACACTTAAAAATTAAAATAATATGCATATAATCTTATATTCAAAAATTTTCTTTATTAAATAATAAAAAGGTAAACAGATTAAATTTGAGTATACAATTTTTGAATGCCAAAATTATATATTAGTTCATTAATTGCATTAAAGTGATAAAAATATAATAAAACCTTTATAAAATCAAATATAATATTTAATATAAATGAATATTTCTTTTTCATATTATGGTATACGTATTAGTGGGAATATAAAAAGAGTATCTAAACTTAACGTTTAATTTAAAAAAAAATTGAAGAGATAATAATAAAAATGCAAGATAATCAATAATTTAAAATACATCAATATAACAAGTAAGTGAAAGTTTCATATCACAAAGTTATAATAATTCAATTTAATAATTTTAAATTAAAGTAAACAACTTAAAATACATAAATCTTATTGGTCCAATCAAAGCTAAAAAATTAATCAAATTAAATCTAACATAATTTTATAACATGTTTAACACATGTTGATAACTTCATCAACCTCACTTTTATAAGAAAATAAAGAGTGTAGTTTTAGAGTTATATAGTGCAAGAATAATTAAGATATTTAAGAAATATTATTAAAGGAGTACTCGCGGGTATGAATGTCATCATACTCGCCTCCATCCCATTTGTAAACGGGTAAAAAATTATCCGTCCCTATTATCCACGGATACCCAATTAACCTATCTATTTATTATCTATAACAGATTTTATATGCAAATATCTATGGGTGCGAATATTTTTACCATCCATCTGTTCGTTTTTTACACGGTGTTGGTTTTCTCAAGACTAGTAACCCATATACAATTATCCTTATCCTTAAATATCTTCATTACCATTTGCTACTTTCATTACAATCTTCGGCTTATTAACATTTTTTGGGTAGTGTTTGTCAATTTTTTTTCGTGGTGTTACTTAGGGTATTAGGTTTTAGGATAAAGTTTTTTTGGAAGCATTTAAAAAAAATAAGGAACAATTTAATAAATAATTTAAATTATTTACAAATTTTAATTGTAAAAATGCAGAAGCAGAAGCATTGTATTCTTAAGTGAGATTATGGATCAGAAAGCAGGGGATGGCAGCAGTGTGAAGAAAATAATATCATCATGTGATGTTGAGGCTTTGAAGAAGTGCTTGGAAGAGAATAAGGGAGACTATGTCAAATGTCAGTCACAGATTGAGGCTTTTAAAGCATCATGCTCGCTCAAGAAACCAAACCCCTCTTGATTCTGCTTCACATTAAAGTAAATTAGATGGTTGAGTGAGAAGTGAATTCTGAGTCTTTCTAATGGTATTCTTAAGTTGTATTAATATTTAGTAATAATTGTGAGAGAACAATATGTTCTCATATTGTGGCTTTTTACAATTTTTTTTTTTTTTTTATAGCTTTTTTTAGCTTTTAATTCAAAGTACATATTTTTATTGAGAATGCTAACAGATCTAATTGGTGGAATTCTATTTGATGTCGGTGTAAAGAAGTTTTACACTGAAATTGCATAAAGACTTGTTGTAAATAGACCTCTCTATCTCTTTGTATATCCACTTAATACACTGATTTGAAGCAATCTTTAGCTGAGCACTAAGCAACAAAAAGGTAAGAAGGGATCTGTCTTAGAAAATTCTAGCATTCCACTCCAACTAAAGGCACCAAATAACAGCAAACAATGCAGAGCAAGCACACTGCACGCCATTGAAGGGGCATGGTGCATTGTCCTTCTATATTATTTAAGTTCATTGTTAGATTTTAAATATAGCATACTTCTATTTCATACAATAGTATAATACCAGTAACAGGCTCTTAAATATGGAGTAACAACTCCCAAGCTAGCATCCTCAGAATGCAGTAAAAAATAGATAAAGAAGCCAAGAGAAAGACACAAATTATGAGGAAAACAGAAGAGGTGCAAGTTATGTTCAACCAAGTCAATAAAGCATCAGATCGACACTGCACGTCTTGTAACCATTTAAAAGATCATAATTTCATTTGCAGGGTACCAAAGCAAGTGAAAAACTTCAATGTCACAAAATTGTGGAAGCAACATCAGAATCCTTCCACAGTCTTGATTCTCATCCTAAAAACAATCATACTATCAATGAGAACTAATGAAATTTATAATTGTAAAAAGCCACAATATGAGAACATATTGTTCTCTCACAATTATTACTAAATATTAATACAACTTAAGAATACCATTAGAAAGACTCAGAATTCACTTCTCACTCAACCATCTAATTTACTTTAATGTGAAGCAGAATCAAGAGGGGTTTGGTTTCTTGAGCGAGCATGATGCTTTAAAAGCCTCAATCTGTGACTGACATTTGACATAGTCTCCCTTATTCTCTTCCAAGCACTTCTTCAAAGCCTCAACATCACATGATGATATTATTTTCTTCACACTGCTGCCATCCCCTGCTTTCTGATCCATAATCTCACTTAAGAATACAATGCTTCTGCTTCTGCATTTTTACATCAAATACCAACTAATTAAATCAAAATAACCATATCACAGACAAAAAAATAAAAAAGACTAAATTTTGGAATTAAATAACAGCACAGCATAAGCATCGAGTAATCCAGTCCATTGTTATGTCACTTAAATTGCTTGAAAATAGAAAAAATATATATATATATATATATATATATATATATAAACAAATACAGTAATACTTAAAATTAAACATAAAACTAAATAAAATATATAAAAGACTAAATTACATTTTTATCCTCTATTTTTATTGACCCACAATTTTGTTTTTGCTATTTTAAAATAGAGATAATTAACTATTCTATTTTTAAAAATATAAATTTTGATCCTATTATCATTTTTATATTTGTTGATCGTTAAATTTTGATGTTTGGTGATCTGTCATCACTTAAATGGCATAGCATTTACTAATGCCATATATAAGGATAAAAGTGAAAAAATAACATACAAAGAATTTTGTTTGTATATATTTTATGAGTGGTTGATATTTAATTTATTAATAAAAATATCATTTACAAATTTTTTTAGTCTTTTTTTTCTTCTAAATATCATATTATTAAATGTCACATCACTTAAATATGTGTAAACTTTAAAACTTAACAATTAGTATATGTCATTTTAATAAGAGGCCAAATTTTCATATTTTTAAAATTAGATAGACTAAATATTTCTATTTTAAAATAGAAAGACTAAAATTGCAAATTGATGAAAATAGAGTGATTAAAAGTGCAATTTAGCCTGTATAAAAACATTTATGATTGGAATGACAATGCTACAACGTGAGTAAGTATACACACATATATGTGAGCTATCAAATTAGAGCATGTCTTATTAGATGAGAAGAGTAAAACTTAATTATAGGCATTCCGTATAAGATTATTAATATTATCCCTTACACGACTATCAACATTATCATCACCCACCGTCATCACCATCATTAGCACTATTATTGTTGTCACTATTATTATTGCAAGCAATAACATTGACGATGGCAACAACAAAAAATGACGATAATGGTTGTGACAAATATGTCGTTATTATCTTCATCATCATTATCATTACCCTATTGTCATTGCCACGATGATAACAATGATAGTGATATTGATGGTAAGAACAACATAGATGTTACCATCACCATTGTCATCATTGACAATAATAGTAATGACAGTGACAATAAGGTTGGTGGCATCATTACCACCACAACTATCATTATCATTGCTTGCATTGTCACCATCGATAGTGGAGACAAGTGTAGTGGTAATGGTAATGATGATGGTGTTGGTGGTGTTGATTGTAATGGTAGGTAACAATGATATTGATAGTTGTGATTTGTGAAAGAGATAATTGTAATAATCTTGTGAGGAAATATTTAATTGAGATTTCATCTTGATCATTAACTATTTTTATCAATAATTTAAAGGCTATGACTTACTCTTATTCTCTCTCATAAATAATAAGACATGCTCTCTAAGAGTGTAAGGGGATACGGGTTACCTGTGAATCCAAACTGACTCAATGAGTTCAAATCATATTTTTTCAATGTTCAGGTCAGATCCAAGGATTGAGTAACGGGTTTTGCATTTTCAACCAGTTATACGACTCGATCGTATATAATAATAATAATAATAATAATAATAATAATAATAATAATAATAATAATAATGTTTAAATAATCAATTAGTCATGATAATACTCACTGTCATTCTTATTTAGTAATAAATTTTATGTTTTAGGTTGATAACATTATAATAATATAATATATTTATTTTGAATTTTATATTGTATTAATTAATGTTAATTTTTTGAGTTAATAATAATGTAACAAATTAATAAGTTTATTTTAGAATTTAGTTTGTATCATTGTTTGTTTTATAAGTTAATAATATTGTATTTGTAACAATGTATCAAAAGATTTATATCTATTTTAAAATATTTAAATTTCACAAAAAATAAATAAATTTAATTATGTTTATTCGATTAACCTATCTCAATCTAACTCATTCGTGATCCGGTTGAATTTTTAAAAAATTGCACAAATCTAACTTAATTCAACCTGCTAAATTTTGATTGGGTCAAATAATAGATTTATCTAAACTCTACTCAACCCGACTCACTTACATCCCTAATACTCTCATTATAATGTTCTCATTAAATATACTCTCTCTCTCATTTGCCAAAATATAAACTTTTAAAGGGGTAAAACATACAATAAAATTAGAAATAATTTTTTTGAAACATATATTTAGAGTAAAAAAATATTTAAAAATATATGTATTTATACTAAATAAATAAATAATAATATTTAAGAAATTTCATATTATGATACCCATGCGTCCAAGTATCTCATTATTTTTTTGGGGAATAAGTATTTTGTCCTCTTCTTATTTACTTTTAACTTATAACAAATTTTACTTAGGGATGTTAATTTGCATATCACCCCTAATTTAGGTTTTTTTTCCTGTTACGAGTATCTTTAGGTTAATGAATAAAAGATTAATTTCATTTGCAGTATTATAACTATAGTTAACTCGAAAAAAATTGATATACAACAAAAAATTGAACATAAAATTATGCCCTAAAAAAATCGTTCTCATTTTGTTTGACCAAAATTTACACTATCTCACTAGATTACTCTTAATTTTATTTTAACACGACACAATAATATTTAATAGGAACTACAATCAGAAACTAAATAAATAAAATTGTAATACTATCAATAATTATAATACAAAATTATGCCCTTTGGTGACATTATCTCTAAAATTATTTTTTATTATTAAATAAAATTTATTTCAAATTATAAAATTTTGTAACTTTGATGTTTCATTTAATTAATCTCTTTTATGATTTTTTCACAAATCTGTCAATTAAAAAGTGTTAGAAAAAGAATGTAAGAGATAATCTTTCTACCATTCATCTTTGAATATATATGGAATGCTCCTTTTAATAACTAATTTTGATTTTTATTCTTACATAAATCATTTTGTTCCTCTGTTTTTTTAACTTCTTAAAATTACATTTTTCTACGAGCAACTTTTCATTTTTTTTATAATATGAAGGATAAAAATGAATTTTGATAAAAAGATATAGAGATTAAATATTTTAGCCAAAAGTTTTTCAGTTTCATGTGGGCAGGGCAACAGTCGACCCACAAGAAGGCAGTTCTCCAGCAAAAACTGATCGTCGATATTTGGTCATTAAAAGTACATCTTACAAGTTAATTTCTTTGTCCAAACTGATGGATTCTCAGATGGATTTTGTTTATTTTACATGTTCTTTTGGTTTATATGACAAGTTTATTTTAATATGAGCATTTACTAATTTTGCTTGCTATGTAGTTTCTGTTACTTGTTACTGCAATGAATTTGTACACAAGTTAACTGTATCTTTATGCTGAGAAGAATTTAAAGTCTAGAAGGACACATTATAGATATTCTTCAGTTACATGGACTTAGATGTTTTTCAGGACGGGTGCTAATTAAAGCAAAAATTGAACTGTGAAATCACCCTCGTCTTCTTTTTCTCTCATCTCATCGAATACTAATTACCTCCCTGACCTTTTTCTTTCTTCTTTCTTTTTTTCTTTTCATATCCCTTATCCTTCCATCCCCAAAATGGAATACACCTTTGGCAATTCCACTTCTTCAGTTTGTACGATAGGCACTGTGTAAAAGTAGCTTTGGATGTCAAAGAAGCTCTCAACAGGTTCAGTGCCTGACCATAGTAATCATACTGAACGTCAGTTATAAACTGAAAAGTGGCTTAGAGGGTAACAGGGAAGAAATATTGTACAAAGTTCATAATATCCAATTATTTGACCAAATTAAGGCACAAGTTAACTAAAACCAATATTGTGGCAGCTCCAAGGAAATTAAAATTGGATTGTGAATGTGAATATTACCTCATGTGCCTTCCTGATTTCCACCCAATGTTCCTCCAAATCATCCAACTGGACATTCTCCAACTGTTGCAGATGCGTAATGCTGGAAGTAGTTGTGATTGGTATGACTTGCAGATCATCCTTCACAATAAATAGACACGGCCTCTTCATAAATCCCACAGCAGGTTCTCTTGCTCCATCAAAACATCTTGGCTCAAAAAGTTTTGTATCTGCTGGATCTCGTAACAGATTTTTTACCTTTGAAATCATTTTCCTTTCACTCCTGATACTCCCCTTATTATCTTCCACTGTGCCATACCAATACTTAGGAGTGTCCTCTTCTTGTAAAGCATTTAGTGGATTGCTCTTACAACCAAATTGAGGAGCTACCCTTGGATTCAGTAAGGATTTGTTTGATGATCCTTTGAACCATGATGGATTCAGCTTCTTCACACTTGTGTACAAGTTGTCTATGCTCCCCAAGGACAATTTGCCATTCATAAGGTTCAGAATAGACCCAAGAGGTGTTGTGAGGAAGCTGACTAGAAAATCCACAAAATTTCCATCTGCTTCAACAAACTTAACCTTATTCTCTGATTTGCTCACTATTACCTTGATTTCTACAGAACCTTCCCAATGAATTGGGCCACTATCCGGTGAGAAAGAGTACGATGACTTAGATTCTCTATTAGGCACGAACACATCACTTAGAGGAGTTTCAGATGTTAGCGCTTGCTTTAGTATGCTAAATATCTAAAAAAATAAGAAAAAACGTGGCAAAGCCAGTCTTAAGCACATAGAGTTATACAGTATTTCATTAAACAAAAGAAATCTCATACCACTATCAAAATATTGCTGCAAAGGAAAGGCTATCATGTTATCAGGTACACATAACATACATGTTGTAAGTAAAAGTCACATAAATGTTTTGAATTCAATATATCTGAACTTTCTACTACAAGAATAATCGTTTTAAACAAACAACTCATGCAAGTACGACCTGAAATGAATGAAAGTAATATTACCTCCTTCATGCCAACGTTTTGAGACTTTTCTGTCATCTTGCTCAAGTCTTTGTGTCGATGTTTGACGAATGGTGGAACGGAGTCACTAGGAGAACTTCGTAGCACTCTCAAGTCATCATGGATCAAGAACATAGCATCCCCTTTAACAAAAACACTGTTCCCCCCATCAGCGTCTTCCTTGGGTTCTTCTACAAGCAGCTCCATTTCTTTTCTCATCAATTTCCCACAGTAGCACCTTGCCCCATCAAAGGTACTCACCCACAAGTTACTGCTCTTTGAACAGCTGTGACACATGAAATACTTTGTGGGTTGTGTGTCATCCACATTCACTTTTAGTCTCTGGCAAGAGGCTTCTAAAGGGTTGCGTGGAGAAAGCAACATTTCCTTGCACATCTTGTTCCAGAAATCATTAAGGCTTAATAAATCTTGCACACTCTGGTACAGATTGTTGATGCAACCAATCTCTACAGGTTGTTCAAATTTGTTCCCAAGCCGGATGATGGTTCCCAATGGAAGGGTCAGTAAACTAAAGAGAGCATCCACAAAGTCTCCCTTTGCTTCCGCTATAACAACAGTGTTTTGTCTTTCGTCCACCCAATATCTCAAAGGAATTGTTTTTTCTTCTTGCTTATTCGAAGCCATAACTGAAACATAAAACTACTGAATATTAATGAAGCTAAAAAAGATGTACATGTTAGATAGTTTTAGTAAAATTTCTGATATGCATAATGCATCTCAGCTAAATTGTTGCACGGACATGGTACTTCCTAACTAAGGGATACGCAAACATGCACGCGTAGCTTTGTGTTCGCAGTTGGAATCAAGGAAGTTGTAAAGAGAGTTAAAGTCATGGTTTGAGTTTTTTCAAAATTCCAAACTTGAAAGTTGAAACAAACTTGGATTCTTTGCAAACCGATTTTGAACCTTTGAGACAGGTTTTTTTTTTTTTTTTTTTTATCATTAACCTATAAAACAGTTTAGAAACTGGTTCTGAAACTACAAGTTGACTTCAAAACCGTTTCCATTCCTAAAATCAGTTTTTGGGGGAAAAAAATTACACATTTTTTTTATTAGAATACATCGTTGCCTAATTTAACAAAATTTTATGGATTCTTATGAATTTCAGAAATTGTATTAAGCTTCGAAATATCAAACAATTATATTAAAATGTGTTGTCATAACCAGACCAAATCAGCCAATCGAATTGGAAAAGTCACGAAACAAGTTTGTTTAATTCTAAGAAAGGTATCGCATAGAACAGGTGTAAAATCAATTAAACCTATAGTGAGATATTATTGTGTTTTGTTAAAATAAAATTAGGAGTAATCTAGTGTACACTTTCCTCACACATAATGAGAACGATTTTTTTAGCACATAATCTTATGTTCAACTTTTTGCAGTGTATTAATTTTTTCCGAGTTAACTAAAGTCACAATACTGAAGTCATAATAGTGCAAGTGAAATTAATCTTTTACCCATTAACTTAATGATACTAGTAACAGGCAAAAAAAAAAAAACCTAAATTAGGAGTGAAAAAAACCACATGAAAACATCCCCAGGTAAAATTTGTTATAAGTTAAAGATAGATAAGAAGAGGATAAATAATTGGATACTTATTCTAGCATTATCATTCCAAACTTAAATGTTTTTATATAGGCCTAGTTCCTATATTATAATCAATTTGTACTTTTGGTTCTTTCATTTTAAAATAGTGACATTTAATCCTTCTTATTAAAAAAATATGAAAATTTAGTTTCCTATTAAATTGATATCTACTAATTATTAAATTTTAATGTTTACTTATATTTAAGTGATGTGACATTTAATAATATGACATTTAAAAATTAAAAAAAAAATTTAAAAAAATATGCAAATGAGATTTTTATTAATAAAATAATATCAATCATTCTAAAAATATATATAAACAAAAATATTTTATATGTTATTTTTCATTTTCATCCTTATATATCACAAGGTCACTTAAGTGATAACAAATTATCAAATAATATCAAAATTTAAAAATTAGCAAACATCAAATTGATGGTAGGATCAAAATTTTGTATTTTTAAAAATAGAAGGACTAAATATCTCTATTTTAAAATAAAAGTACCAAAATTATGGATCGACAAAAATAAAAAGACCAAAGGTATAATTTAACTTTTTATATATTTGATTTAGTTTTATGTTTAATTCTAAGTATTACTACATTTATTTTTATATATAAAACTCTTTCAATTAATTTTCATTCTTTAAAAATAGTTAATTTAATTAATAATATTAAAATCCATAAATAATTTAAACAATTTTTTAAAATTGTTCCTTATTTTTTTTAAAATACTTCCAAAAATAAAAAGTTTATCCTATAACCTAGTACCCTAAGTAACACCACGAAAAAAATTTGACAAACACTACCAAAAAAATGTGAATGAAACGAATGATTGTGATGAATGGAGCAAATGCTAATGAAGATATTTAAAGATAAGGATAATTGGATATGGTGTCCTAGTCTTGAGCGAGAAAACCAACACCATGCAAAAAAACAAAAGAGAATATGTAATTGACGTGCATAAGACGAAATAAGTGGGGAAGTAGGCTGATATAATGGGGAACAAAAGTGATATATTCACTTTTTCTTTTTTGGCTGTAAAGAGATCTTCACTTTAACTTTATAATGTAATGAATTATTAATTGCTGGCTATCCCAATCGTCATCTTATTTGAAAATAATTGGTGGTGAAAATATCTAGTCATGAAACACATTGCCTCCTACAGGGAGAATAATAGTTTTTTTATTTTTTATTTACATTATTCTCGTAAGATATTTGTTTTTCTATATAACTTCTGATATTTTCACTGATGAAGTTTGAGAGGGAAAATGTAAAATAATTTAACGAATTGAATTCAAAAATTTTGACGCAAATTCTTTTTATGAGTTTTAGTCATAATAAAAATTAATTTTTTAGGAGATTAATAAAAATTAATGAACCCCTAATTGTGATAATTATAAAAACTGAAAAACTTAAAACACTTAAAAATTAAAATAATATGCATATAATCTTATATTCAAAATTTCTCTTTATTAAATAATAAAAAGGTAAGCAGATTAAATTTGAGTATACAATTTTTGAATGCCAAAATTATATATTAGTTCATTAATTGCATTAAAGGGATAAAAATATAATAAAACCTTTAAAATTAAATATAATATTTAATATAAATGAATATTTATTTTTTTATATTATGGTATTAGCGGGAATATAAAAAGAGTATCTAAAGTTAACGTTTAATTTAAAAAAAAAATGAAGAGATCTCAAAATGTAACGTAGTTTTAATGAAATAATTAAATATATTTTACAACTAATATAACGAAAATATCTCCTTATACTATGACCGATCTTTTTATGCTATAATGTTTTAGTTTGTACAACATATTTATATTTATAAAGTAACTTTCTTTTTTATTTCAATTCATTTGTCTCTTGTAATGACTCTATTTATATATGTGTTCTCACTCTCTTTTTCTATATATATGTCTATAGATAGATAAATATCATGAATATAATAGTAAATAATTATATAAATATATGAGTATATATATATAGTAATATAATAAAAGAAGAAGTATAAATTCTAAGTATTGGTCAAAGACAATTATACAAACTACTTAAAAGTAGCACTAATACTATCAAAACAATGTCAAAATGTCAACAAGGTCTTTACTACAACTTCCTATAATCTATCGTTGTCCTACTCTTATACTATGTATGATTATTCTTTCCAAAATTACATGAAAAACATACATGGATAAGTTAATTAGATTTAAAAACAAAGCAAGTATAAGAATAAAACATATTTATACTCAATATCATCATGCAAATCAAGCAAGTACACCACAAGATTTGCATCCAACAATAATCATCATGTTTAAAAGCTATCTACCAAGCAGTCAAATTTACACTAATTCATATCATACAATAAGATATTTACCCCATGCATATGAAGATATTAAATATTTTGATGATTACAAATATCTTGTATATGTAGTATACAACCTCTTGAAAAATAAGAGTGCAAATTGTAATGTGGTGTTTGTTTTGCTTTGTTGCATATAAATTAATTGTTAAATATATTTACTTAGCTTTAATGTGGTGTTTGTTTTATTTGTTGCATGTGTTGCTTTGTGCATAAATTAAATGTTAAATATATTTACTTAGCGTTTAATTCATTTAAATTGATGATTGATGATGATAGTAAGATTTAAAAAGATGACTAATATGAAAATTGAGATATTAAGTTATCCCTCACCCTCAACCTTCTTTCCCTCTTTTCTTCATAAATCACACCCACCCTAGTAAGCTAAATTGATGCTTATCGTCTTTAATGACACATTAAACAGTTAAAGCTAATGAGGATTTTCTCTCTCTAATCATGACTAGGTTTGTTTGGGCATGGATGATAGTGAGAATAACAAAAAAAAAATGGTAGAAAATATTTGGGTATGAATTTTTTCTCTGTATTCATGGCAATGTTTGTTTACAATTTGATATGGGTTTATTCATATTGTATTTTAGAAAAATAAACCAATTAAAATATTTCTCACATTCTTCTTTGGATTTTGCTTAGAAAATTTTGAAGAAAAATTACCTTGACTAAACCCTAACTAAAGGATTGCAATTGGTGTCACCTACTGCCCACAATGAGATGAATTGTTCTTTTTATGTGTTTTTTTTCCTACCTTTTTATTATATGTTTTTGTTGTGATTTTGGGTTATTCTTTTAGTTTTGGGGCTACTTGATTGCGCACAACTCACTCAATATGGTTCATACTTACTCCATGTTGTCGATGATGCATTTTTATTTTAATACCATGATATATTGAATTGGAGTTATTGAATCTTGACTTTATATAATTAGAATTTTCGGTTAAGAGCTAATGTTATTTTGATATATTAGACTTTTGAACTCCGTAAATGTATATTGATTTAAATGTGATATATAGTGTTTAAATTTTATACTATTGTGTTATATGATTGATTATGAAAGTATAATATTTATATATAAAAAAATCATTTAGCATGTCTCAAGTATATGATATTTTTACCTTTTGATGCTCATTTTTAAAGGATGAAAGGTGTTAATTAAACAAGAAAAATTTACATAAGCTTTAAATGTTTTCTTTTTTCCTTTTTGGAGTTCATTTTTTTGTTGCAATTTTTACTACTCAATTTTTGCATTAAGTATTATTGTTCTTGGTTGCTTTTTTCTTCTTCTTCTCTATTATCATATGTGCTTATAGGGGATTAAAGTCATTTTGAAAAAAAAAAATCTTATATCTTTAATCTAAGGAATTTTGTAAATTTATATGACTATTCGCTCTATGTGTGACTTTTTGGCATTGTCCATATATTAGATTAGTTATTATGTTTAAATATTTGTTACTTGATACTAATTTGGAATTCATGGGAAGTCTCTCACAACACAGGTTGATTGGGAAGCATTTTGTACTAGGATCTGTTGAGATTTCCGTTGAAGTACTTTTGTTATAAATGTAAATCAGGTTAAATTCTATCAACGGTCTCAAACACGGCAAGTATACCGGCCGTTCAAGTAGTAAAAATATCGTATCCACGAGGGGAACCATCCCTCAAAAGCCGGCCCAAGAGGTTGGAGAACCTCCCGCCTTATAAGGCCTCCCTGGTAAGGAGACCTCCCCGATGTGGGACTTGTTACATTACCACCCCCTTCGAAAGCCAGCGTCCTCGATGGCTGCACTCCACGGTACTTCACTCATCGGCACTTCACTCGGCCCTTGCCGGTCAGAACATATATTTTAAAATATACTAAAATATGAACATTTTGATTAACTTCAAGTTATTGTTCAATTTCAACAAAATTTTATATAAACATATAAAGTGATATGAACTTTCAATCTAATGATTGAATTTACAAAATTTATATTTAATATAAAGTTATTG